TGACATATTTCCATAAGATTAGTTTGTTAAACTTAAATTCTGTATACATTCTGATTACAATTAATTAGACATTTTCTTTTCTTTTTTTTCTTTTGGTTACTAAAAGTTAATTCTGCTATTAAAATAAAAAAATAAATAAAATAGAAATGGTAAAATAAAGCAATAAGCCCCGTGAAGATGTGGTTTACAGTGAATTTATAACAGCTAAGGGGCGTTGTTAGGTACAACGTGAAGTACAAAGTGGTTGCCGAGCAACAGACAAATGTAAACAAAGGTGTATGTTTGTAGAGTAATTTACAACAGCTTCGAACGTGGCTCAACCAATCAGAATCAAGGACTGGAACTATCCGTTTAAAAAAAAAAAAGAATTTGGGGAAAAATAGAATTGTATTTCATAGGGCTCTAAAAAAGTAATGTTTGTGAAACATTTAATAAATTGTAATTGAATTTCATAACAATTAATAAGACATGCTTTTTGATTACAAAAATTTAATTCAACCATTAAAATGGAATCTGAAAATAAAACTGAAAAAAAAAAAAAAACTGAATCCAGAAAAATTTAAATAGAATTTTGGTTAACATTAATTGGAATTTAGAAAAAAAACTGATTTCACAGGGTCTTAGTTGATATGTCCTCAATATTTAGGGGGTAAAAAGTTGTTATAAATTGGTAATGTTTTCTATCAAATTTTCCATTTGTTTACACACAATGAGGGCTGAGTTGAGCTGATTTTGTAGAGCTGCATCTCTGTCTCTCTGTGTGTCTCAGGGAATGGCTCTTCATCAGAAGGTGGCCGGAGAGAGATCGGGACCCGGTTCTGCTCCGGCTCAGTCCTTCCTGGCCCAGCAGAGACAGTGGACACAAGCCCGCAGAGGCCTGTCCCGCCTGCAGCCCAGATAGACCCACTCACACCGCTGATCCTGGACGAACGCTTCTGGATCTGTCTGTCACCGGCCTGCTGAGAGCCGAGAGAGGATGTCTTTTATCAATGTGTTTTAGATGAAGCTTTGTGTTATTTTTAGTTGATCTGAGCGTCAGTGTGTAGTCGAGTTTTAGTTTAGTGTTAATTAGCGCCAGAAACCACTGCGTTTAATGAAGTAGCTTCTTTTAATGTCTTTTTACTGTAGTTTTGGGTGTTGATCAGGGTTACGGTGCATGTGAACGCACTTTACACACCCGGTGCCTTCTGCCATCCGTCAATCATCTGCTGCACAGAAACCAAACGCTGAATGCTGGAAGCCTTTAATGCCACGAACAAATGAAGTGCTTTTATAATGATTTTTTTCCAGAGAGCTGCTGTGTTTTAATGACACTAATCATGGAAGTTTCCACCGGTTGCTGCTTGACGGTTTTTTGTTTTTGTTTTGTTTTGATGTAACGTCACCAAAGTCTGTCACTGGTATTTATTGAGGCGGAAACACTACTGACTGTGAACACCGTGTTCTGGCCCTCGTCAGTCCGGACGCTGAGCTTCTTTCGTTTGTTCGTTTGTTTGTTCTTCACTCTCTGAGAGTTTCGTCACAGTGCTGATGTTCATGAGTTGTTCGTGTGTTTCTCACGGTGTTTTTTTTCATCGTTCGCTCTGGACTGATGGGGTCGGTACGGAAATGAATCACTTTAGTCTCACTGTTCTTCTCTTTGCACTACAATAAAAGAGGTTATTGGTACAAAATATCAGAGCTGAGTCTGTGTGTTTACTTTCGTGTTAGTCGCTTTGGACTAACAATAAATGATGAGACGCCAGTCAGAAATGGATGGATAATAAACCTTATTATTAAACATGATCCACAAATCAGCACTTGAAATACTGAATAAGTCGGATGAATAAGTACATTTATTGTTAGATGTATGGCCCATGACTCCATGTTTGCCTTAAAGATAATATTGAAATTGTAGAATTTATAGAACACTTCTAAAAGGTGAGCAATCAATATTTTGTAATATTTGCTGACAAATATGGAACAGTATGTTAAAAAGATGCTAATGACGGTTTTATAGTTCAGGCGTTTTAGTATTTCAGATTCCAAATATAATCACGATCATGCAAGACCGCTAACGCATAAAAAATTGCATTGTTGCGAAAAATTTGTATTATAAATATGTGTAAAATAGTTTATATTATGTTGCATTATGTTTTCTTACTGTGGCACTGTACTGTTAGATGTGTTATTGAAATCACTTTATTTTATTTATATTACTTTTTATTTTTATTCCAACTTTTTATTTAAATCAAATTGTATGTATTAGTTTTAATCCAATTTTATTTAGTATTTCTTTTAATCAAATTTAGCTAGATGAGATGATCTTATCTGATCATTTATAGCACTGAACCGTTATATTGAATAATTTTAATCTAAATTAATTTATATGTAAACCAAACTATTAATTGTTTATTTGAATCATTTTTAATGATTTAAATTAAATGTAATAAGATTAGTTAGTCTGACCTAATTGTATCATTTATAGTACTGTATCAAATCATTTTAATCTATTTATTTTATCTAAATGTATTTTTATTTAAATCAAATTGTATCTATTTTATTAAATATGTTTATTTATTGTAATCTAATTTAGGTAGATTAGTTAGCCAAATCTTATTTTATCATTTATATATTTTTACATCTTTTAAATTTTTCTCTGAACAAATCGTTTAATCTATTAAATGTGAGGACTAAAAATGTCTACCTGAGTAAAATTTTGTCCAAACAGTCTTTCTAAAAACTAAATGAGCCTGTACATTAATGGTTTCTGGATTAAATATTAGGCCTAATCCAGAAACCACTGTGTTTCTGCTGTGATTTTTTTTTTTAACATATGTTTTCATGGATAATAAAACTAAGAAATAAATAAAATAACTTCACTAAAAAAATGGTTGTATAAGCAATATTCACTCAGAAATCGCTAGTAAATTACGCAATTAATTACAAGTCAACGGCAAGTAACGCAGTGACTTAAACGTGACATTTTAAAGCAGAGAGACTAAAACAGTATTTTCCTCTACAATGCGTTCAAATAAATAACTAAATGTGTGTGTGCTGTATGTTCAGTGTTTGTGAGAGGCGCTGCGGTTCTTCCTCCGGCCTGCAGGCGGCGGCGGCGCGTCTCTCGCCGGCTCGAGGCTCGGGCGCTGACTGCAGATGAAGTGCAGTATGGCGGAGCGACGCTAAAACACAACAAACCTGTGCGAAAAACATCGGCATAAAACCCCGAAATCCTGCCAATCCGGCCGCTCTGCGATCATAATCACACTCGGACCCGCGGCTCGATAATCGCGCTCTTTCTGTTTGTGGCCGACGGTGTTTTTGTTTCGTCGCGACACTTTACGATCACATAACAAGGCAAACTAGCGTATTAGTCTTTCATTTTCACCTTTATTACGCGTATACGCATTTAAAATACATTTAATTCTTCATTAAACGGCAAATCGTCGCTTCGGTGCAGAAATCAAAACACCGCAGGAGTGAATGTAAAGGCTTTATTTATTATTTCACCGAACGGTAAAACGATGGAGAAAAAGCAGCATAAATCAGACAAACATCACCGCCATCATCCTCATCCTCATCCTCACCAGTCCTCCAGCAGCAGCAGCGGGGAGTCCGGCGGCAGCAGCCCGGCTCACGGGGCGCCCAGAGCGGCCAACGCCTTCGCCAACGACGGCAGCTTCATGGAGCTGTTCAAGAAGAAGATTTCATACCGTAGATTCATACAAATAACGTATATACATCAGGGGTCTCCAACCTTATTTCTTTCGCGAGCTACTTTGTAAAAATGAAAGCGACTGAGAGCTACCCATATTACACAAGACTTAAATCTCTTAAATAATGTATGTCAGAACCAACCGTTATACACGGCATTGTTAAAATGTGCTGGAAATATTAAATAAAGTACTGATGCACACACTGAAATCATTTTACCAAGTTTTATGACTAAAGCCAACAAATAAAATTAGCAGCACACTATGCACTCTTTGTTTGCATAGACAGTGAATTATAAACATTAAAAAATGATGGCCGGATTTTAAAGTAACAAATTATAACCTGTTATCTACTGACATGTACTACATGTTCAAGTAAAGTTTTGACTTTTTTTTTTAATTATTATTATAAAATTTCAGCCGTTAAATATATATATATTTTTTTTTTAAATGAAAAGGATGAGTCAGAATGATACATTTTATCTGGTCCATAAACAGTTCTACATAAACTAATGTGCATTCTAAAAATCTCAACACTTCTGATACCAAGTTAGCCTATTTGCATTGGTCTGAACCATAGACTGTATAAAAACATGGACGTAGTGTCCGTGACGTCACCCGTAGGTTTCTGAAGAGCGTTTTTGAAGCTCAAAGTGGGCGGAGCCGGCCGTCGCCATCTTGGCAGCGCGTCACTCCCGGATAATCTAAAATGTGCAAAGAGACGGGAGCTGGTTGCTGAAACCACGCCCACCTAGCTCCACGGTGGTGACAGCAGCTGCAATCCACCTGTCACTCAAGTGGCCACGCCCTTAATTATGCAGAACTTTAAAGTCTGCGTGAACCGGAAGTTGCTGCCGACTTTATTTCAGTGTAGTGACGTATTTCCAATTAAGGCGGAATATTGAATAGAGAGCATGGTTTTATTTTGGCGCTCCTCCTCTCTGTCTCTCACTCATATCAAACTAACGGTTGGAGGGGTGTGTTTAAAAGTATGTTCTGCCCATTGTTTTAAATGTGTGCTGAAATAAATACTGGAAAAGATCGATTCGCGGCTTTTGAGAATCGATATCGAATCGACGTCATTTAAAAAAAACGATTAATCGGAAAATCTATTTTTTTGCCCAGCCCTAATCAAGAATAGCAATGTGTGCTAGTAAAATAAATAGTCAATTTTGATTTAATGCGGACTTTAAGGCTTAATATAATTTAAACGGATGACTTATAAAAAAAATTCACCCCCCTCACAGTTGTCATCAAGGGCAAAATTACCTATATAGACCAAAATAATTTTTTGTACCAGGCTGTAAACATTTTTTTTCTGCTGTAAAGTTGGGCATTTTAACATGGGGAGTCTATGGGATTGACTCCCTTTTGCAGCCAGCCTCTAGCGGCCAGTCGATGATTTGCAGTTTTAGTCACTTCCATGTTGGCTTCCCGAGAGAGACCGGGAGGTTGCCGCTTGGTCTGAACAAAATATGGCAGACAGATTGAATGTATATTTTTAATGTCCTGATTGAGCAACTGTTTCAGACTCTCCAAAATCGCGCAAATAAGGCGTTTTACTAGCATTACCGTTTCCATGTAAAATGTTAGGTATGCTAAATGAATACCGTATTGTCCCGAATATAAGACGCTGTTTTTTTCTTGGAAATACATCTGAAAAAACGCGGTCGTCTTATATTCAGGGTCTAGACTTTGACATGTCAATAATACACCCACAACAATAGGTGGTGCCAAAACCGCATAAAACGAGTGTGCCGTGAAATACGTAATGTAATGCGTGTTGTAAAGATCGCAAGTAAAAACAAAAGAGAAAGGAAACCTTACAACTGCATGAGTCGTGACTGTCACGTTAGCCTGATGGGACCAAACTCCCTTTGTGATTTTAAAATGTAAGACAGTACCCAGATTTGAAGACTACAGTAAGATTTAACTTCTACTGTTAATAAGATTTTGGTAGGCTATTATTAGATGGATAGCCTAAATGTCATAATTCAGATGGGCTACCTGCTTTTTAAAAAATTTTTTAATGGTATATCAAAAAGTGTATATTTTTTAAATGTGATTGTTGGTACATTTTACCAGTTTTTACCATACTTTCAAAACAAAAATTAAAATAGGACAAATATGCAAAATGATAATAATTGAAGACAAAATGTGTTTTACTGAGAAAAAACAAGATTTGTTTTTTAAAAAGCCTTTTTCCAAAAGGTACATTTGGAAAAAGGGGGGTCGTCTTATAATCAGGGTCGTCTTATATTCGGACCAATACGGTAATTAATTTAACCAGCGTTTAAATCATTACCTGCTTCAAAATGAATGCTGTTAACAAAATCATTGTTGAAACATTTGCAGTTAGCCTACTGTACGAATAAAAGCACCATAACAAAATGACATAAACAATGAATACCTGTACAAGACGAATGAAGGTATACGTGTATTAGCTACAAAGCATACATCTTTATTCAGATTTCAGAATGAGCACTTTGTCATTTGTTATGTATATGTTGAGGATCTCGTCCATCCGGTGTTTATCATGTTCATCTGATGTTTGCTACTGTAATGTATGAACGTAGCTTTTTAATAAGCAGGAGAAATTCCCGACATTAAACAAATAACCGTTTACATGCCTCAGTGTTTATATCTCACAATTCTGACTTTATAACGCACAGTTGCTTGTTATAAAGTCAGAATTGTGGAAAAAAAGGGTCACAGTTTCCTTTTTTATTTAGTGGCGGGAAAAGGCTGCTGTCACGTTCCCTCCATAGACTGTATAAAAACATGGACGTAGTGTCCGTGACGTCACCCGTAGGTTTCCAAAGAGCTTTTTTGAAGCTCAAAATTGGGCGGAGGCTGCCGTCGCCATCTTGGCAGCGCGTCACCGCGCGTCACTCCCGGATAATCGAAAATGGGCAAAGAGGCGGGAGCAGGTTGATGAAGCCACGCCCACCTAGCTCGACGGTGGTGACAGCAGCGGCAATCCACCTGTCACTCAAGTGGCCACGCCCTTAATTATGCAGAACTTTAAGGCTTAATATAATTTAAACGGATGAGTTATAAAAAAATTCACCCCCCTCACAGTTGTCATCAAGGGCAAAATTAGCTATATAGACCAAAATCATTTTTTGAACCAGGCTGTAAACATGTTTTTTTCTGCTGTAAATTTGGCCATTTTAACATGGAGAGTCTATGGGATTGACTCCCTTTTGCAGCCAGCCTCTAGCGGTCAGTTGATGAATTACAGTTTAAGTCACTTCCTTGTTGGCTTCACGAGAGAGAGCGGGCGGTTGCCGCTTGGTTCCCTCGCGAAAAAGTTTAGCGAGTTTCTCAGAGGAAAGCGAAAGTTGTGCATGCAAATGCAGAAAGAACAACACTAACAAACATGAGAGAGGGGAGGACATGTTATATTTAAAATCTTCGTGTTCCTCTAGGAGCAGATGTTTGCTAGCGAACAAACCATTGAGATGTTTTTTTTTTTTCTTTGAGAATCACCTTTTTTTCCCATAACAATATTCCTTTAGACGTTTTCAAAATTTTCATATGCTTTATAATACTGTACAAGTGTATAATTTGTAGTTTATTTCATTCTTACATGGTTATCTACCATAAGTCGAGCAGTATTAAAGGAACCATTTCCAAACACAACGATTTTTTTTTTCATGATGATTTTCCACTCTTGCTATTTTACCTTTAAACATTTATATCTAAATGACTTCTGTTAGATTGGCAAAACAGGATGAAATTGTACATATTCAGTAGCATTCAGAATTTTGGAATTGGTAAGATTTAAAAAGTTTTTAAAAGAAGTCTCTTCTGCTCGTTTTTTTTTTATCAGAAATGCAGTAACATTTTGAAATATTTAAAATGACTGTTTTCTATTGTGAAATATTGTACATTTTCAGCATCATTACTTCAGTTTTCAACGGCACATGATCCTTCAGAAATCATTCTAATATGCTGATTTTCTGCTCACGAAACATTTCTGATTATTAGCAATGCTGAAAACATTTGTGCTGCTATTTTTGTGGAAACGGTGATACTTTTTATTTCTCAGGATTCTTTGATGAATAAAAAGTTCAAAAGAGCAGCAGTTATTTGAAAGAGAAGTCTTTCATAACATTATAAATGTCTTTACTGTCACTTTTGATCAGTTCAATGCGTCTCTGATGAGTAAACAGTCATATACGTGTGTATCTGATGTGTGTGTGGATGCAGGTGGAGGCTGGGAAAGGAGACGCCTGGACTAAATACATGGCAGAAGTGAAAAAGTATAAAGCGCATCAGTGTGGAGACGACGATAAGACCAGACCGCTGGTCAAATAGACTGAACTGCTTCCTGTGGAGACGGGCGTCACTGCCATTCACTCTTTGTCTGTTCTTCTCCTTCAGCTCTTTGTTTCCAGCTTGAGTTTCATCCTGTGTGCCGTATTTGCTTGTTTGTTGGATTCTGGTTCTTTTTGAGTCGTTATGATTTAGTCTGTGGCATTACACCGATCTTGTTCACCTTGTTGATATTTTGTACTCGACGTGTTTGCTACTTGAATGTCACCTGATGAAGATTGACGATGATGAATTAAACTACAGTACCACAGTTTCTGTCCCGACTGTGATGTTTGAGCGTCCCACACCTGATCACGTTTCTGAGAGTCATGATTCATTTGTCAGCTTCCATTTTACCTCAGTCAGGATGCCGTTTGTGTTTACATACTGTTAGGAAAGCCAATTAAAACGCTCGGACCGAACGTTTTGATTGGACGAACATTTCTTGATCCTACGCCTTCTACATAATGTATAAATACAGACAAATACATTTAGACCACTTAACTTAATGATTGCTATCGGGATGTGAAGAGACTTTCAACCAGCATAACAAAAAATGTTTCTGAAGACAATCACCTATTGCACCTTTAATTTGTCAACATTCAACCTTTCCCAGCATTTCAAGCTTTTGCTGTACTTCAGAAAACCTTAAAGAGGAGAAATATTTCAAAACTTGAAATTAAAAGTAAAATTGTATATATTCCAAATTTATATAGAGCGCGAGAGAGATTTTGAATATATTAAAAATTTGTTTTTAATTATAAATAAATTATATTTAATGAAAACATACAACCCCCCCAAAAAAAGTTAAAGGGGCGGGGATTTAAGATATGCAAATTAAGAATATCCACAGACATTTGTGTTTCTAGTTTCTAGTTATCCTTATTTAAACACTTCAGGGGAAAAATGGCAATTTTGATTAAAAAAAATGTTACCTTAAAGGGGGGGTACAATGCTGTTTCATACATTCCGAGTTGTTTACACTGTTAAAGAGTTGGATTCTCATGCTAAGCACCGACAACGTTTCAAAAAACAATTTGGACGTATTTCTGTCAAAAATCTTACTTCCGGGTTCGTACAAGTTTCGGAGAGTTTTTTTTCGATCGTGGCTCTTCATGACGTGTTCAGAGAGAACAATTTCTAACTTTAAATTCTAACTTTTGCGTATTTTTTGTAACTGTTGCTAATGTAAAATTTCTAAATATATATACATTTTTTTTTTTTTTACATTTTAGATGAAATTATTTGCATTGTGCACTTTAAAAAGCATTGGCAAAAACAAACAACAAAAAATCCTTGTTTCTTTCAGTAGTTTCTTTAAGAGGAAAATCTGGATTTAAATCGTAAAATGTTCAGGGTTAATAGTAGCTGAATTTGAAACTTCACTCATTGTATTAATCCAAGCTAATAATAATAATGTTTAATTTATAACCATTTCAGAGCTCAAAACATGTTAACACCAAATTCAGAGTAAGGTTGTTTGTCAACAAGCCCCTCAAAGAAGACATCTAATTAGATATTTAAAGCAATATCAGCCCAGTATAAAAAGTAAACAAAATTATATATATTTTTATTTTTTACTTACAGCAAAATAAAACAAGTAAATTAAAATCTGGCAGGAGCTTCATTTTCAGAGTCAAGTATAATTGACATTTTATGAGTGCTTTAATCTTACATCAGCACTTTCATGATTCATGTAGGCCTATGACCATGCCAGTTTTCTCCTGTATTTTGAGATTTTAAGGTTACCTCATTTAATTTTATGTATAACTTAAGACGACAGAATTTCAATGTGGGTTAATACAGGAAAAAAATCACGTAAAATATGATTTAAAACAAAATGAAAGAAAATATCAATAGAAACTTGTTTCTATATTCCTTGTAACTAGAAATTTCTAAGTTGGAAAAAAATCTATAAATGATCAAATGTTTGTTGAACCTACTTCAGTTCAAGTATAAACCAATACTTCAATACAATAAAGAAACTGCTCTGAGACAAAGAAACCTTTCTTAATTGTAAATTGTTAAAATTTTACATCACAGACACAGAAAGAGTTTTCACTAAGGCTTCTGCATTTTTATTTTGCTTGTGTCCTGAAACTTAAGTAAACGAATCCTGAAAGTTCAAGTATATTACAATGGCCGCCGTCCCACCCTTCGTCATTTGGTTTGAACAATTTAAAGGGCGTTTCGTTGGTAAACAGCACCAGAGACACAGACCCACACCAGAGAGGGAGGAACACCTTCACTCATCAATATTCATACGCTCCACACATGAAAAAAATCCTCATTTACAGAAGCTGCGCGCAAATCGACATGCAAACACACACACACACATACAATTAAAAGTGTTTCTCTCCCCGTCACAGTGATCAGGTCTGTCTGTGTAAACATTGATACATATGTACAACCCACGGATCATCATTCAAACAAATAACATTACTCATCAGCATCAATATTCAAATGCGTATAAAAACAGCTCCGTCTCATTGGACGGCCAGCACATCATGCATAAAAGTGGGCGGAGTCGGTCCAGATCAGAGTTCTGCGATGTCATAGGTTCTTCCTCTTCAAGTCTCCGCCCTGCGTTTGATTGACATCTGCACACACAGAGAGAGAGAGAGAGAGAGAGAGAAAGTCAGTAATGAAGCACTGCGACTCGTCCCGACTGAAGATGATGAAGAAAGCTGCAAACGCGCGCATGCAGGCAGCGGGAGCGTCGCGCGCTCAGCGTTTACCTGAGAAAGCCAGCTGTAAGTGTGGAGGCAGAGCGGCCTGAGCCCCTGACATGAGACCCTTTAACACATCTGAGGAGAGACGGGACAGAGAGACACACACCCCACGCATGAGACGCCGCATGAGACACACACAGAGATTCAATGAGGAAGCAGATTCATGACGAGCCACGCGATGAAGAGCAGATGAACAACACACACAGCTGCGACATCTTATGTATTTTAAAGGGGTCATGAACTGAGAAACCAGAATTCCCTTGATCTTTTCACATATAAGAGGTCATTCTCTTATTAAACATCCTGTAAGTTTCAGAACTCAAAACCTTCTCTTTAGTTTAAAAACAGCTTATACTGAAGGCAGTCCGCCAAAACGTCAGCTTGTGGAATGTTCTACTTTATGATGTAATAGTGTGAATAAGCACCGCCTCTGCAGAAGATCATCAACAACATCACTGCCTGTTTAGCCCCGCCCACGATTCTACAGCGCTGCCTGATTAGCCCCGCCCACAGATTCTACATCACTGCCTGATTAGCCCCGCCCACATATTCTACATCACTGCCTGTTTAGCCCCGCCCACCGATTCTACATCGCTGCCTCTTTAGCCCCGCCCACCAGATTGAAACTAAAAGATGATGCTGTGCCGGATATATTGGATCTGACAGTAATGTCGCACCACACAAGTGTGAGTAACTGTTTTCATTACGTGGTCACTATTGCTTTGTCTCTTCTTACAGATCACTTGATATGTATTCAGTTATTTATGCATTTTTGACCTAAATCACAGCAGCGTCCATCTGTGGGTAAAGTCGGCAGTCAAACATACACAACTATTATCCAATAAGAGCAGTGGGCGTTTACTTCCCAGTCTACAATCCTCCACGCCTATTCACACAGAGCGTTCTGATGAGGAGGGTTAAAACAGGACAGAAAATAGCCTATTACTCCTAAATTATGATGGTTTTTGATGGAAAATTCTTGATAACATTACTATAAGTGCACCTCAGAGAACAGTACACAATAAAATCCAAGGCAGTTCATGACCCCTTTAAGTTCAACAATGACAACAGCATCACTGAACAAAATGTAAGTCGACATGATTTCTTTACCATAAAAACATACTAATTGAAATATTTTCAAATAATAAAAGTGTAATAAATGATGTACTAAATAAGTAAATACTAACAGGTTACTGCAGTTGCACACACACAACATCAACTAATGAGGGCTCATACGAGCCTACCTCTAGTAGAAAACCTAAGAAATCATTCAAAATAAGTCTAAATTATGGACATTTTATCCATTTTAAGTGCACATGTGCATGTAAATGACTGAAGGACCAAGATGAAGAAAGAACTGTAACTTTGCATTTGCTTTGTTTTATTAGCATACAGTGCCTTGCGAAAATATTAATACCCCTTCATTTTTTTTTCTCACATTTTGTTAAGTTGCTGCCTTATGTTAAACTGCTTTAAATTACTTTTTTCACACATCAATCTACACTCCATACACCATAACGGTAAAGCAAAAAACAGGTTTTTAACATCTTTGCAAATGTATTCAAAATAAAAAACTAAAATGATTCCATTGCATAAGTATTCATATCTGGGACAGTTGAAATTTGGCTCAGGAGCATTCATATTGCTTGTAGATGTAACTACACTTCAAGTGAAGTTAACCTGTGGCAAATTCATTTGAATGGGTATGATTTGGAAAGGCACACACCTTAATAAAAGGTCTAACAGCTGATAATGCATATCAGAGCAAAAACCAAGCCCTGAGGTCAAAAGAACTGCCTGTAGAGCTCAGAAACAGGTTTGCATCAAGCCACACAT